TATGATGCAGGGTCCCGTTCCACAAGGCGATAGCAGCGCCTAAGTCTATGTGGCCTACCTTTAGAATACAGTACCACAAACTTTTCAAACACGTGACAATACCCTATGACGAAATGTGAAGTATGTGTTGCCAGTCACACCGGCGAAACAATGCCCTGTGACGTCAGGGGTCATCGAGTGTGCATAAGCTCCTCCCAGTGATCTCTCATCTCCACACGCAATTTCATTAAATACGCACAGCGGTATTGAGAGTTTTGAATATAGCCTGCGGCGGCGCATTTTTTAACAAGCGGTAGTTTACGGAAGCACTTTTATTTTTTATTTATTTTTTACTTCCTTTTTTCTCGTACCACACTTTTCTGTCACAAAAATCACCCGACGAATTATTAAATACCATGTCATTCATGCGTACACGCGAGTTCGACGTCTGACGTTTGACGCCTGGAGCCGTTTTCAGTTCGCGCCATATCGGCTCATTCCTCACCACTCGGTATCTTGTAGATTACGGAATGGGACGAGTGTGTCAAATGGCATAGGGATCATCGTAAGTGTCCGTAGACTAAAGTCACGAGACACCATGCCTTCCCGTAATCTTCGTAAGTCACCTATTCGACACTTTTCGTTCAGTTCCGCAAAGTCGTAGGCATGACTAGGTAAATTCGAACACAAATCACAGTGTGGACGTAGCTCAGTCGGTTAGCTGTCGGGCTAACAATCCGAAGGTCGCGAGTACGCGTCCGACGGATTCTCACAAAAACTGGTTGCTTGTCTTTGAGACATGTGACCTACAGCAGAGATCATCCTCACGAGAAGTTGTGGTACGGTATTCTCAAGGTGCTTTTAGAATACAGTACCCAAACATTTTTCAAACACGTGACAATACCCTATGACGTCATTTGAAGTATTTTGTTGCCAGTCACACCGGCGAAACAATGCAACAAATATTCAAAACTCTCAACATCGCTAGGCGTGTTCAATGACATTACGCGTTGAGATGATAGATCACTGGGAAGAGCTTATGCACACGCGATGACCCCTGACGTCACAGTGACTTTTATTTTCAATATATTTTTTATTTCGTTTATGTCGTAATTCAAGTGGATAAAAAGATGATAAATGGGAACTGTCAATTCCTTATTTTTATTATTATGCACAGGAATGCAGTTTGTTAGGTATAGTATATTGGCGCTGAACACATCTAAATGTCGCCGGTGTTAGTGTAGGTTACCCTTCGTAAGTGTCCGTCACCTATTCGACCCTTTTCGTTCAGTCCCGTAACGGCGTAGGCATGACTAGGTACAATTGCACATAATTTGACAGTGTGGACGTAGTTCAGTCGGTTAGCTATCGGGCTAACAGTCCGAAGGTCGCGTGTTCGCGTCCGATGGATTCCTACAAAATATTGTTGCTTGTCTTTGAGATATCGGATGTGATCTTCTGCAGAATGGTGCTTCCTGACATACAACATAAGGTTTGAATTACTTGAATAAAAATTATTAAGACTGTTGGTTTTCCAGGGCCTAGCTCTATTCTATTTAAAGAAAATTCCCCTATGCCCTGGTATGACAGACCACCACGGACTTTGTCACTGTGTCACTGACAAGAGACACAACCTCGGCAACAGAGTTAAAACTAAACGCATGTACGTATTGATTGGAAAAATATAATCTACCAAGGTCAAGACGATTATTTTTATTTTCCCTACAGGTTAAACTCCGAGCGAGTCGTTCTCCTGATTAATCTGTCGGCTTCCCTCATTCTGGCTCAGGTGGTCTTCGTGGCCGGCGCAGGGGCAACACAGAACAGGGTGATAACTGTTGCCATGACTGATGTCATTCCGTAGATAAGGAACATAACGCTTTGTCAGCTTGATGTGGGAGGAGAGTAAATGTGACTCAGACCGGAAACCCTCAAGCAGTGGGTTTAACTGTCAAAGGTTAATAATCGCTACACGACTTTTGGGAATCGATAAAACAATTAGAGATCCTTGTAATGTTAACGGACGCAACTCTGCACGACGAGCTGCGGCGCCTCAACATACTAGGCCATCCTCGGCCCCTGCACAGATGGAGAAATAGACATAACTCGATTTAATAAAGCTTCACCAATGTTTCAGAAAGTGAAGAATGATTATGATTATGAGCCTTGGTTTGCGATAAGCACCATATCCGTGCTGTGTGTCCTCAAATCTAATGGCCGATGAGTCAGAATCTCTATCTGGTGCTATTAGATTTCCCCTGGCTCCAGCGCTCGAAATAGACGTCGGCCCGTAGGCCCGTGGCCGATAGATTCATTTTTCTGGAAGATAGTTTTATATTTCAGCAGACCCTTTAATACGGTGTTGCGTGTATTTTAAGCTGTAAACATAGTAAATGAATCATAACACTGAGATTGCTTGGTTAAAAAAGGGTCCAGCTTGAAAGTACTCCACTCAACACCGCAGGCCGGTGTACCGGCCACACTGTAGCCACGTCAAAATAATATTTAGTTTCATGAACCTTCCTGTCATATCATTCATTTCTAACAATTGCAAAACTTATATCTAAGTTGCTATTTCCATCGTTTCGTGCGTGCGTGTAATGCAAGTCAAATGACATCTTGGCATTTTTCGCCTCGATTGTTAGGCTTCGACATGATGTTGAATACCAAAATATACTGAACCGCAAAAGAAGTACACCATGGATAGATATATGAGAAACCTTATTTGTCCAAACACTGTAAACATACTTTGAGACATATTAAAAAGATACAACTTGGTAAAACTGATCATCAAGGTTGAAATTAAAGTGTCAAATGTTCTGAAAGTGAAACACAACACTAGTCTCTGAGAAAATAGCATCACAAGTCAGCATCTCGTGTGTCCGCCATGTGCATTGATGACTGCCGTGCAACCTCGATACATAGAAAGGATGAGGCGGTTGATGAATGCCATAGGTACTTGATCCCACACTCTGAGGAACGCCTAACGCAGTTCAGCTGCAGGTATCGACCTTGGTCGGACGTCATTCAGTCGTCTTTGAATCTCGTCCCACAGTTGCTCAATGAGATTTAAATCGGGATTGAGGGCAGATTACTGCATGGTTCTGATGCCATTCTGCTGGAGGAAGTCTCTTGTTTTTCTCGCAGTGTTGGCACGGGCGTTATCATGCTGAAACTCGTGGTTGCGGCGACGTGCCAAATGAGGTATGGCTTGTGGTCTCAAGACTTGATCAATGTACCGAGCTGCTGTGACACCATTGCCTCTCCCTGGACCGATTTTCTGGAAGACAACAGGTCCGACCCTCTGTGCTAGACCAATTCCACCCCTAACCATGATGCTCGGACCACCCCACGAGTCTCTCTCAACAACACAAGCATCCGAATAACGTTCCCCACGGCGTCGCCACACTCTCTGCCATCTGCTGATGAGATACAGTAACGGCTCTCGTCTGAGAAGAGGACTCTTCTCCACTGCTGGTGGCACCAATACTGGTGCTGTGTTGCCCACTGAAGACGGTCCCGGCGATGACGTGGTGTCAGAATGGGTCCTCGGTGTGGCCTGTGACAGTGGAGGTGTCTGCTCGTCAATCGTCGACGCACGGTGTCCGCACTAATGTGTCGCTGGTGTGTCCCCATGGTCTGTCGAGCAGTTTCCGCAGCAGTAACAAAGCGATCTTGAAAATGCTGTCGCACAATCCGACGATCCTGACGATCTGGTGACCTTTGGCCTTCCACTTTGTGGTCGGTCATCTGTATTGTTTCATGCAATGTTACTTGGGGTGACGTTTCTTTTGCGGTTCAGTATATATGCATGAGAAATCTTTGTCACAGGCCGTAACCTTGCACCATAGTTTAAGCATAGGTCGCGGTTTCCCGCTTAAAACGTTCAAAATAACACGATGTCATGTGCTTGATTTTGATAAATCACGATCCTAATATTAGATTAGGTTAAATGCGTCAATACAAACCAATCCTATCCAATACAATCGCATGTTACAACAATGAAAATTTAAAAGAGAAATGTTAGTGGATAGCTCTATTATGAAATCTGAAAATTGCCGAAAATCGCAATACTTTTCGCTTCCTTGGTGCCTTATATGGACACTATGAATGTGTTAGCTTATTTATTTTTTATTAAAAACGAACTAAATTAAGTTATAAAAGCATTATTTAAATAATGTGATAAACATAACTTTCATATTGATAAACAGTAGAATTAGACCTTTCAAATGGTGTATGGCATGTAGCAGATACATGTATTTCACAAGCTGATAATTTCCTTGATAAACATAGGCTTCATCTTTCACCACAGTCTCTGGGAATTCGGTGTGGTAGCAGTAAAAGATTCTGGTTGACTGGTTGTTTCGTAATCGTATTGCAAGGGTATGTCTCCCTGCTTCAGCTAAAATGTTTAGGCCTACAGTATTTCCACGGGGCCTACAGTTTTATAAATGTGCTGGCCCTTAAGGCACTCAAGTTACTCTGCTAAATTTCAGTCACTGCCTGGCTCCTTCCCAAAAAATCGACAATAGCGCTAATACTCTAACTTTAGACATGCTTTAACATTGACGTATATTAGTGGTGGCGCTTGTAGCACCACCATATGTAATATGTGAGTTGACTCCAAAGACCTCTGCTTCAACCGTTTGGTGTTCTTTTCAGTAATGAAAGTAGTTTGCACGTAATAAATGAACTGACAGATTAACCAGTTGCGTCAATGTCTCATCCTTGATTATGCAGAGTATTACATCGTCATTCTATTGTGATAAATGCCCTGGGTTCCGTTGTACAAAACAACCTTAGTGCTACACCTGTCGTAAGTCTATGTTAAGGTATGGGGGTTACGATCACCTTAGCGCTAAGATCGCTTTGTACAACGGCACCCAGGACCCGTGTGTCAAAGCTTCGTCATGAATCTGATTCGAATGACTCATGTGCAAATGCAATTATGTGTGAATGGAGATATAATACACTGGCTATTCGAGCCTGGTTTTGTATGTGACTACTGGTCCCTGTTTCAGTCGGTGTGTCGGGTGATCGCCTGCCTCCTGCACTACTTCTACCTCACCGTCTTCTCCCTCATGCTGGCGGAGGGACTGCAGCTCTACATGAAGCTCTACCTCGCCTTCAAGAAGGACATTAAGATCACAGTGTGTCTGGTGTTGGGATGGAGTGAGTAATAGATACGTGATGTGGTATACGCCACAGGGAGCTGAGAATGCAAAAGGAACGTATACTGTTGAACTGATTGTATGAAATGAGATCTCTACGACTTATTATCCCACCACAACGATTGGCATCTTTACCAAGATCTAAGTGAATGAGGGGTTGAATGGTATTTTACACCATAGTTAGCATTATTCCAGATAATTACGTCAGACTGAAAATACAAAGAACGTTTGGACCAAGCAAACCTGTTGTTGGCAGCATGAACACGATCCACGACGTCGGGGAGGATGGCCGCACTAATCGGACACACTAGTAAACACCAGGTCCGATCCTCAGGACTAGTTTTCTGTAATATGGCGTCCTATTTGACCTTGTGGTCTTCAAAGTTTAACTCAAACCTTCTGTGCAATATACTCTTCTTTGGTTACGCATAAAACTATGATAAACGTATTGCACGGTCCTACCCGAGAGGCCACGGAGTAGCTTGGTGGATAAAACGTTCGTAGTCACGACGTGAAGCCAATTTACATTCCCCATTATAATAGGAACAAAGTGTGAAGCCCATTCCTGGGTGCCGTTGTACAAAGCAATCTTAGCGCTTCAGTGATCGTAACTCCCATACCTTAGGACAGTCGTAGTGCTAAGATTGTTTTGTACAACGGCACCCTGGTGATGTTGCTAAAATATTGCTTGAATATTATTTGGATATTGCGTAATGCTTGAATATTGCTAAAAGCGGCGTGAAGCCAAACGCATTCTCTCGCTGCTGCACTGACCCGTCCTGTGTGAAACAATGTCGTGTTTGCATGGACTAATTTGCAGACGGGTAGTGATGTTGATACTGACGCTGTTCCAGGTCTCCCGTTGTTGTTGGTGGGGCTAGCAGTGGGTGTTGACCCGGATGGTTATGGAACTTCTTACAGGTTGGTGTGGATAGTTATCAGACCGTTGCCATAGTTACCAGAGGAGAGTTACTGTGACTGGATATCATCTAGGGCGTACAACATGATGACAGTGTCTTCTGGTTTCGGGCGAGTTTCTTTGGAAATGTATGAATTATTGACAGTCATCACTCTAATGACTTTGCAGATTATTCGACATAACTGGTCAATCAGAGGTTTTAAATTACAATAAGATACATCTGATTTTGCGATCGTTGTACACAACGTTGAGCTTTGATGTTTTGCGGAGAGACATTTTAGAATCTGTTCTTTATGAAGGTTGATTGATAAGTTCTCACATAGAAGGCATTGCGTAACAGTGAAATATTTTGTTATGGACATCCCTCGTCTCAACTATCAATTTCTCAAAAGAATCTGTACTGAAATAGCCATGATGTGGAACAACTGATATATTTTTAAGCGGACGTCCACCACTGATAGTTAAATATGGAGATGGTTTCAAAGAAGACATGTGCTGACTATCATGGGAGAAACATCTGAATACGTGATGGTTACGAGTGTCGGTTTTATCTGTTATTTAATCGAGGACAAACATCCTTGTCAACGGTTTTCCTATTTCTTATACGGCCGCTCAGGGGCCTTGTGGATTCTCAGGTCATACCAAAATACGTCAAAAGACGGTACATGTTGTTACCCCGCCTGGCACTTGGCATAAGGACTGGTCGGCTCTTTCAGTAACTGTATCTGAGTGGGGTATCAATGTTAAACTGCTTCTCAGTGAGGTAGCACTGTAACATCGACATTAGTCCGGACTAGTACAAGCAGCCACATGCTCCTCGCTATATATACATAGTTATATAAATATCAAACAATAGTTATCATTGTGTATAATTCTAAGAAAACTACCTCTATTACATCATAGCCATAAATTCCTGTTTATGCTGAGAACCACACTACAAATGTTCTATAAATTTTCAACAGACGTCCTCTTCACTGCCAACATATCTAATAGTTATGAGGGAAACCCTATCCCTCGCCAGGGGCGCCACTGCAGATATTTTGGGAGGTGGGAGGGATTAATTCCTGATGTAATAGAGGTAGTATTCATAGAATTATACACAATGATAACTATTGTTTGATAATTCTTGTGAATACCCTACCTCTATTACATCATAGCCAGTATACACCAGAGGGACCGGTGGGATCTGGTATCTAGCATCCCTTAGATATTTGGCTTTGTGAAGTGGTAACCCCAGGATTGTATGCCAAAAGGAGCCAAACGGAATATGTCTAATAGTCTACTTACAAGGCTAGACATAGTGAAAAAACAAGCGTCATATAATGGGTATAATATCCATGTATATAGCCACCAATGTGATACTTAGACATATTATGACGTCACTTCCCGTGATGACGTCATATGTGACGTCACTTCCGGTTGTCATTCAATGCCCACGTCTGTGGTATATGTCTTCTATGATCTCTTATCACTTTATGACGTTGTTTTCCGTTATGCCCTTTTAGATAGTGATATCTTTTTGTATGTTGACGTTAGTCCGGCGCGAGGTCTCCCATGACGTCACTTCCGGTGGTAGTACATCATACATCCTAGATTATCATTTAGAAACCGTATATCACTTAATCCTACGATCTCTGATTTCAGTGTTGCAACTTGACTTGTCTACTATACAATAGCAAACTAAGAACAAAGGTCAACTTGGCCTGAGTTCATGAGGTATTCTGAAATCTTCACACACACACACACACACACACACACACACTTACACACACACACACACACACACACACACACACACACACACACACACACACACACACACACACACACTTTCCCCCTTTCTCGAAAAGAGGGGGGTACAAGGTTACTTGGAGACTATCACCTGGGTTGCCACCAAGGGTCCAAGTGTGTATACTCCATCCAGATCGGTCTGTATGTCTCGTAATTAAAAGTTTGAGAACATGTTATGGGACTTCCACTGGCAGCTAGCTACGACTTGTTCAATGGATGCTGTATTCCATGTGGCTAGACTTATTGCAAGGGCTCTGATCTCGTGAGGCCTGCAGCTTCCCCAAGTTTGCGGGGAGACTTGTGCCAGTTTATAGCTATCTGCGATAACCGATCTGAGCCATCCCGCTACAGTACCCTTTGTTATGTCCTTTTCTGCGAGGATTTCTCTGCTTTCTGTTGGGTGGAGTTGCTGTAATGAAGTATCTCAAGGCTCTTATGGGACAAAGTAATCTGTCCGGATACTTTTACTTAAGGCTGGTATTGTGTATTGCCTGTGTCCGAGTGGGCCGAAAGTTGACGACTGGTTTTGGGCAATAAATTCTGGAAGTGATCTGAACGACACTGATTTCCGTTCTTGGGTATGAGTTACAGTGGAAATGTCAATAGCGTGCAATTCTGATACACGAGCCGCAGTGGCCATGGCTAGGAGACGTGCGGTCTTCCTGGAAAATAATAGTAATGTCGCACTACTCATTGGTTCATAAGGTGGTTTCATCAATGCTGACAATACTATGGATAGATCCCATTTTGGAATTATAGGTGGTATTTTAATGTCCTCCAGTGCAAAGGACTTCATGAGTCGATTCAGTACTCGGTGGGTACCTATAGATAGGCCATCGTGTTGTAATACAGATGCCAGGGCGGATCTATAGCCTTCGATAGTGCCATGTCGTAATTTCTTGTCGTTTCTGAGATTATCTTCGTTATCTCCACGTTTAAATGATTTCTCATTCTCCACTAGACAAACTTGTCCCATCTGTTATTGTATAGGGCAGATGATGCTGGTCTCCATGAGCTTGCCACTCTTCTTGCAGCTGATTTAGAGTAACCGGCGGCTTGCATCTTATTCGAGATAACTTCCAAGCGTGAAGGTGGAGATTGTCGAGGCGGCCGTAAAATATGACCGTTTTCGGTTGTCTCAGTAAATCGTGACGTGACGGGAGTTTCAGAGGTTCTTCCCCTAGGAGAGGTAGTAAGCTTGGAAACCAAGCCCTGTTTGGCCATGCCGGGGATATGAGAATTATGACACAGTCTGTCTCCTCTATTTTCTTCAGTACTCTGTCTAGAAGAGCCCATGGGGGGAATGCGTACGCAAACATTCCCTCCCATTCCATAGAGAGAGCGTCGACCTGGAGAGCTAGCGGGTCTAGTACAGGGCTAACGAAGACTGAAAGTTTGTTGAGACATGTGGCGAATAGATCTAGGTTTGGAGTATCCCATAGGCAGGTTATCCACTTGAATATTTCGGGATGTAGTGACCATTCCGTGGGTACTATCTTGTTTTTTCGGGGTTAGGTAATGTGCTAGGATATTTAGCTTGCCCGGTATGTCTTGCTTCGATCCTGCCACTCACTGAGTCTACCAAGGCAAATAAACGTGTAACCTCCTTCAGGAAAGGCTGAGACTGTGTGCCCCCTTGGTGCAGTATGTTAGCGACCACGGTCGATTTGTCTGTAGCGATCTTTACTGACGAGTGGTGCAGACGATCTTGCCATGCTTCTAGAGCTAGATATATCGCTCTCATTTCTAGACAATTGATGCGTAACTCCTTTTCTTGGGAGGACCATTTTCCCTGTATGGTAACATCGTCCATATGGGCACCCCAACCCTCTCCTGATGCATCTGTGTAGAGTTGATGTAGGGGGGTGGGATATGAGAGTGGAATACCTGGCATGACATTTTGACGAGTTAGCCACCAATGAAGTTCTGAGATTTTAACTTGTGGAGGTTGAATTAAGACTTCCAGCTCTAGGTCGTTGGTGGTATTCATTCAATTCTGCAGGGCTCGTAATTGTAGTCTGCCTCTGTAGGTTAGATTTTGGATAGATGTGAGCGTGCCGAGGCAAGACATCCACCAGCGTCTCGATTTGATTGGCTGATCGAGTGCGCTTGTTATCATGTGCTCTACTCTTGCATATCTGTCCTTTGGAGGTACTAATATACCCTTGTCGAGTAGAAATCTTGCGCCGATGTAGGTGATGTCCTGTGTGGGTACTAATTCTGATTTTGAGGGTGAACCAGGAATCCTAAGTGTGTTAATAGTTGAATAAGGCACACTGTATTTATTCTGATTTGCGATTTGTCCTGATCGGCCGATAGGAAATCGTCTATGTATCCGTGTAGCCTTATGAGCTTTATATGGGCGAATCCGATGACGGGATTGGTGATCCTGGTGAATAACCATTGGGCGATGGATATACCGAATGGAAGAACCCTGAACTGGTATCTCTGACCGTTGATTGCGAAGCGCAGATAACGACGACGATGATGGATGGGGACGTGAAGATAGGCGTATTGGAGGTCTATGCTTATCATCCAATCTGCTTGTCTTAAGGCATTCTTCAACTTTTTGATAGATTCCATCTGAAAACTGGGAGGTTTTTCCAGAAAATCTTTGTTCAGGACTTTTAGATCTATGATTAATCGCATCTCTGAAAAATTCTTCTTCGGTACCAGGAACACTGGGAAGTAGAATCCTAGAGAGGTGTCTGACTCCTTTAGGATGCTGATAGCTCCTTTAGCAAGTAGTTTTCGTATGGCCACTTCTGCTGCATTAACTTTCGTCCTGATAGATGACTAGTCTTGGTCGTTTTAAGAAGTGAAGTTTGTAGCCTCTTCTTACTACTTTGAGCAGCCATGAGTCGTCTGTGATGGTCTCCCAGTTGTCTGCGTACTGCATAAGACGACCTCCGACTGGTCCCGGAATAGGATGAATGCTGAACTTGGGTAGTCTTGGGTCGATGTCTGTGAGACCGGCTAGTATTGTTGATCTTCTGTAGTTCTAAATCGTTTCCACTGGGCAGGCAATGTCGGTAGGGTCTGAAGGAATCTGTAGATCTCTGGTTGAGTCATTTCCGGCGTTATCCCCCTCGGAGACTGCCTCTGCCTCTGCTTCGTCCTCTCTGCCAAGTGGGATGATCATCTTTGGAGTTCCTATACTTGGGGTGAAACGAACCCCTACCAGAATTCACATGACGAGATCTAGGATTCTGTTGTTGATGCTGAAGATCTGCAGGCCGTCTCTGTATCTTGGATGCCAATGAGATCGTGGATTCTTAAAACTTCTGACCTAACTACCGGGCAAAAGAAGGTTTTCACTTTAAAAATATACTCACACGCAAAAGAAACGCAAGTGGTTTTAAGCAAATAGGTAACAAACACGGAACCATAAATTGATACGTGTTTTAGCATGTAGTGAAGCCTGATGGTGTTATCAATATTATTGGTTGCATTTTGGAAGCCCCGAGTAAAAACGCAACATAAAAAACGAATCGCCAAAACGCACCATTTCAATGAATATGTGGGTATCATGCACCCATTTCTCGCGAAATCGAAAATGCATGAACTGTCACGAACTGTAGTGGGTATAAAAATGTGGCCGATTCTTGGACCTACCACTCCTTGGTCAACAATGCCACGCCTAACTCAAATTCAGAGAAACCAGGCTATCGGACGTTTGGAAGCTGGAGTGTCTGTCCAAGATGTTGCCCGTCATTTCAACGTTAACATAACCATAATTTACCGCCTCCTGCATCGATACAATGCTACACAGACCACAGATGACCTTCCTCGGAGCGGTCGTCCTAGGGTCACCACACCTCAACAAGATCGGCAGATTACCCGTCAACACCAGCGACATCCGTTCCTACCTGCCAGTGAAAGTGCTCGACAGACCATAGGAACACATAATCGACACATTAGCCGGGACACTGTGATCCGACGTCTCCGTTCAAACAACCTCAGATGTCGCCGACCAGCACGTCGTCCTGTTCTCCAACCACGGCATCGACAAGCACGACTTCAGTGGGCACAGGGTCATCGCAATTGGCGTCATCTTGAGTGGAGGCGTATCATCTTCTCTGATGAAAGTCGCTTTTGTGTCTCCCATGCAGACGCAAGAGTCAGAATTTGGCGGCGTCGAGGTGATCGTTTCGCTGACAGAAATGTTGTGGAAAGGGATCCATGGGGTGGACCTAGCGTCATGATATGGGCAGGGATTGGACTTAATGCGAGACTTGGACCCATGTGCTTTCTCAATGTTGGTCAAGGTCGGGGACACGGCGTCACTGCTCAGCCGTATATCGACCAAGTGATCAGACCCCATTTTTTGCACATCAACAACACATTTTCCAGCAGGACAACGCTCGTCACCATGTTGCCAGAGCTACCATGGCCTTTCTGCAACAACACAACATTCGTGTTCTACCGTGGCCAGCCCTCAGCCCTGATCTGAACCCCATCGAACACTTGTGGGATGAGGTTCAAAGGCGTCTGCACAATGTGCGCCCAGTCCCTACAACTGCCGATGAACTACGCACAGCTGCTCTGGATGTGTGCAGGAGGATCCCAAGGGCCTTCACAAATCGTCCGATCCACTCAATGTACAGGAGATGTGTGGCAGTGATCAATGCTAATGGTGGTCACACCAGGTATTGACTGACATTTTGGGTATTGACCCGAAACTGTGTAAGCCCTTAACATTTGAAAAAGACAATTATGTCATCTGCCCTTTAATCCATTAAACTGTCTTCAATCATTTTTTTGTCAATCTTACCCTATTAGTATTTCTTGTCTTTACTGTTGAAAATAAATAACATGTATACTGCATACTCGACATGCGTTTCTTTTGTGTGTGAGTATAGTTGTATAAAAAGCAAAACATCTGGTACAGGTTTGAACCCCCGCAGAAAACATTCGCCCAAATGCAACATGACCACAACCACAACGCAGATTTTCGAACGCAGCTTTCCAAATCATGCATTATTGAAAACGTGCAAAACGTGATTTTGAGACATTGGTCCAAATGCACGTGCGTGATTGTAGCATAAATACCGACGTTGGACAGAGCAGGCATTAAGTAAGCAAAAAAACACCATGAATATGCCCAGACTTACACAAGCGCAACGAGACAGAGCGACCGGTATGGCCAATATGGGGGCTGCTCAACGTCAGATAGCCAGAACCTTCAACTGCTCCCAGACCACCATCAGCAAGTTGATAATCCGCTACCAACAGGCAGGACAGACTCAAGACCGGCCAAGATCGGGAAGACCGAGAGTGACAACACCGGCCGAAGACCGCTACATCCGGCAGATTCACCTCCGAAACAGATGTGCACTAGGGCATGCCATCAGCAGACAAACAGTCCCTCGACAGCTTCGTACGGCTGGTATACGAGCCTACCGACCCTTCCGTGGAATGGCCTTGACCCGTCAACGCAGACTGCAATGGGCACGAACTGTACGTCGGTGGCAGCGACGTGACTGGGCGAGAGTGCTCTTTACAGATGCGACTGGAGCCAAACTGCATTAGAGAAGTTCACCCGTTTGGAGGTGGATGCGTCATGGTATGGGGTGGCATTTGTAGCCAGATTACAACACGGCTGGTTATCATCCGAGGAAACCTGAATGCGTGGTAGGGAGGTAATCTATGTGATTCTCGATCTCTTTTTAGGACTCTCCTACTGTCCTCATAATAATCTGATTCAGCGTGCGTTTCTGCTGTATGAGGATGCCCTGTCATATTCAGTCTTAGATCTCTTTTGAATCTCGTGATCAAGCCCTGTTTGGCCATGCCGGGATTGAGATGAGACATTGATTGCATACGTTTGTCAATCATTACAGACATTGAATTGGTTATTTTCTCCGTGAACTCATTTAAGTAAAAGGGGGAGCGTGTATATCGGTTGCTTCTTCCAAGCCTAGATTATCCACCTTATCAGCCGCTTCCGGATGTACGTGACAGGCTACATTAAAGTCTGAAAGGTACATCGGCTCCTTAACTATTTTGGGAGAGTGGGATGAGCGACGAGATCTCTTCTCCTCAGAAGGCGAGACGGCGTCCCCACGCGACACTCGCTTGTTACCCACGTGATTATCTTTAGTAGTCACAACGGACTTAATCACTTTTTTTACATGAAGCCAGAGACCATATAATAGATCTATTATCTATTATATGGTCTCTGCTAGATCCTTCAGCCTTCTTATAACCCTGTTCTCTGCTTGTAGACCTGCTCACTGCTTGTCTTTAGTGAAGCTTGCAATGATCTAGTGTGGCTTGTAAGTGTGGAACAGCAATCACGTGTACAGATGTATGCAACAACAAAAATTCTTTGTTGTCATCTGGACACGCAGGAAAGAAGTTAGGTGATTCCCGCCTTGCGCATGCGCAGTGTCGCCCCTGGCGAGGGATAGGATTTCCCTCACAACTATTAGATATGTATTGAAGAAAACACGCTTACGCGGTTTTTCCCTCTCCCCAGAGCATGCTCTGTCTACTGAAACCGAGGGAAAGTGTTTTTCCATTCTTATAAACCGTCTAAATTGATTAAATGTTATAACGAGCATCTATAAATGAGGCGCTTCATTATAGCGCTTCCTTGAAGACGTGATATCATAACTTGCACGTGAAATTCGTTACATAGAGATAGTTGTGACGTAACGGCTAACAGTTACTGCACGTGTAAATTGTGCAGCAATGATAATAAGCACTTGTTTAAAAGCACATGTTTTACAACCTCGCTGTCCTTTCACCAGAGACTCTGAAGTGAGTGAGTGAGTGAGTTGGGTTTTACGCCGCTTTTAACAGTATTCCAGTTATATCGCGGCGTGTCAGCTTAATGTGGGAGAAAAGCCGGAGGATGCAGGTCTCAGACGTTTACCACTTGGGTGAAACCACGAGCACGGGTATGGTGCTGACAAACCTAGAAACATAATCGGGCGAACCGGAATTCGAACCCACAATCATAGGTTTCTGGCGTGTCCAAGGGACGCAACTCTGCACAGCGAATCGCGGCGCCTCAGACGACTGGGCCACCCGTGCCCCCTGACTCTGAAGTGGAAAGATGAGCGACGACGACTTTCATTTTGTTACCCAGTCTTCATTCACCGAAGAAAGCGATAACTTTTCTTATCGATTTGGAAAGCCATTAACCGAAGAAGAACTTGATAAACGTTTGGAAATATGTGTATCGAAATTTTGAATTGCTACTTGTTGTCATTTTTTCAGTTACTTGGTTAAACCTGGGATTTGAGGTTTTAAGTAAAACCTCCCGAACGAAAATAAAACCTCATAATAGGTTTTACTTTGAAAGTAAAACCTCTTAATAGGTTTTTCTTTGAAAGTAAAACCTCACAATAGGTTTTAATACCTATAGAAAGAACTCACTTACTTAATAGCGACCCCAATGAATAGGTTTATAAGTTGGCAGAGAAGAGGACGTCTGTTGAAAATGTTTTTAAAAAATTGTCGTGTAGTTCTCAGCATAAACAGGAATTTATGGCTATGATGTAATAGACGCAGGGTATTCACAAGAATTATAGTGAACGCAACGTCACCACATTTCACTGGCCACACACCACGTGCCTACAATCGACAGGACATGTCATATTCAGAGGAGAGGTGGGGTTATCTAACAAAAACTACCTTTCTTCAGGTTCCCTTGCACAGAAAGAATTACGTTTTGAAACAGTGACTGAATAGATCTCTGGCCGCCGAATGTTAAGTGGTCATTCCTTATACATATAATAGTATTTTTATTTCAAACGATGTAGGGCACGGGGTTATTGATATTCATAAATGGAGACAAAAGCGGGCAGTGCGCTATCAGATAACTTTTCGGTTTGATGGGTAATATCCTCATTGTCGCATTATGAAATTATAAAATCTTCAACAATTACTGATTAATTGTTTGATATGTACATAGAAGTTGACTGATGACAAAGTAGACACAATTTATGGATAACGTTTAAGTAGAGATTCTTATACCTTGTCAAGCAAGTCAGCGGTATAAGGATCTATACCGAATCGTCGCCTCTACAGTAAATAAAGACGTTGCTATCTATAAATTATGTCTACTTTGTAAGTACTGATCGTTTACAGCTGTTGGCTGTCGACATCAAGGGGAACTATATGGGGATTCGTGGGCCCAGCTCTTGCAACTGGTTTGGTGAGTGTAAATATACAGCTACTCCAGTACATAGTGATGCGGCTGTACGTTGTAACAGCCAATCAGTCTGTCTTGTTATTTGGTTTACGGATCTCAATAATATATGAAAAGTTTTCAGGACAATTGTTTTTTAATGTTTTTGAATATTCCTGGTCACGAAAAATTATGGCAAACGTATGCCACTTCGTTGATTATTACATGTAGTTTACTGAAATCGTCGTCCAGTTCAAATAGAACCTAAGCCAACTTGTGTACATTTCAGAACAACGTGTGTGTAGTTCAGGTCAGTTTGTATATATTTCAGATCAACTTGTTGGTCCTGGTGCTGGTCATCAAAACATTTCTTAGTCTCAAAGTCAACGCTCGGAAGACTGACAGGCAGAAATTTCTGTAATGTATATTCTATGATAATTGTTTATGACAAAACTATTTAATGTATATCATATCGTATAGTTATAAACATAATTATCATACCGATTTGGGCTGTAACATGCATATACTCTATAACCATAAGTCCAATCCTACACCCAGGTCTAGCCTGAAGGCAGCCTCTGTGTTGTTGCCTCTGTTAGGCATCACCTGGACCTTCGGCGCCCTGGCCATCAACTCCAACACCGTGGCCTTCCAGTACGTCTTCGCTCTCCTCAACTCTTCCCAGGTACGTCATGGTTGGGGGAGAGAGGCTCATAAACTGGTATTGTTTTCTTCTTCTCTCAGGAAGTATGTTCTTACAGATCCTGTTTTTTGTTTGTTGTTTAATGCCCCTCTCAGCATTATTTCAGCTATATGGTCTGTAAATCATCGAGTCTGGACAAGACAATCCAGTGACTGACATCAGGAGCATCGATCCACGCATTTGGGATACGATGCATCAACCAAGTCATCGAGCATGACTACTAGATCCCGTTACTCGCCTCTTACGACGAGCATAGTCCGGGACCTTCAGGGGTCTTACAGATCCTGAATTTTCCAACTCATGTTCTTCCTCCTTTGAACATGACACCATTCTGACGCTGTGACCAGCAACATCAGATGACACACCCACACACTCATATAATTGAGAGTCACAATATGGCTGAAATATTGCCGATGTGACTTCAACTTTGAACCCACTCACTATTATAATTGAAACACTATTGAAACTAAACTCACTCACTCTGATCCTCAATGCTACTCTATGGCCCTTTGTGTTTCAGTTTAGTATAGGTCCCGAGTACCCAATGTTGTAAAGCTGACTATTAGAGGTGGTTAAACTGTGCTACAAGGCTGATTATGGGTCATTATACATGTGGATCATTGCCTCAAGCATTGCTTCCCTTGGTTTGGATACACTTACGCTTTGATGTTGCTGGACCATTCCAGACTGTGGCGTTAACATAACATTCACTCACTGGTTCCAAGTCTCGTGGGGGCGGTCGGGTAGCCTAGTGGTTAAAGCGTTCGCTCGTCACGCCGAAGAACCGGGTTCGATTCCCGACATGGGTACAATCTGTGAAGCCCATTTCTGGTGTCCCCCGCCGTGATATTGCTAGAAGATTGCTAAAAGCGGCGTAAAACCATACTCACTCATTCACTCCAAGCCTCGTGAAGATTCCGGGTTAGAATTGGTGGTCAGCAACCCATGCTTGTCGTAAGAGGGGACCAAATGGACAACACAGATCTGTGAAGATATGGGAAGAGAATAGGTCTTCATCATCACATGTTTGTCATAAGAGGCGACTGACGGGATCAGGTGGTCAGGCTCGCCGACTTGGTTCATGCATGTTATCGTGTCCCAATTGGGTGTCAATGTTCGTTATGTCATTCACTGGTTTGTTTCGCGCAGACTCGAATATATAGACTTTCGTCTATGATGGAATATTGCTGAATGTAGCGTTAAGCAGTAAAAAAGCACTGGTACTAGAGGGGAGACTTACAGTGTGTGAAGATGTGTTTGCCTCCTACAGGGCCTGTTTATCTTCCTGTTCCATGTGGTGTTTAACGACGAGGTGCGGACAGCCTACTGGAAGCGGCGGGGACGGATCCTGACTGTCCACTCTGTCAGCCACTCCCACTCCACCGCCCTCTCTAGCACCTGTCAGAACAGGCGGAAGGCAAGTACTTGCTGCATTGTCATTGTATAGAGGGGAAGTGTGCGAATGAAGTGTTTATGTTGGTTGTCTGACATCAAAATGATATTCCATTATCGAATAGACAACAGTTGTAAATGTGATTTTTCTTTAAGGCTTTCGGCTTGATGACATCTACGCACATGTGAGATCACAGTCATACCAAGCATATGCAGACGGCAGCGCTCCCTCCCACTACACAAGTTTGGTGTTGACATTAAGTCTTGCTCAACCACAGCAACACATTGTTTTGGACTGTTTGTGCTGGACAGGGATGGAAGAGGTTGAGGATGACAACACTATCTATCTGTAATACCTTGTAGAATTGCATGTGTGACTGAGACAGCTAGCTGTAACATTGCTTCGGACAGTCATTGAATATTCATTACTGTAACCTGGTCAGGTTAATGTTAGAGGAAAGCAGATCTTGGAGATTTGCTTCAGTGAAACCAAGTTCAGTAATGGTCCTCCCAAACTAAGGATAGCCAGGATGGCACAAGACTCAACTCATGGCCAGCAGATCCTGGCAAGGCAAGGGCTGCAACTCTGTACAAATATGCAGAAACTTAGACTACAGGGTTACCACAATAAAAAGTATCTGAAGAAATATGTATCATGATTGCGGTTGTGGTGACTGACACTAAACAGGAGGTCAGGTGTGTTTTTTTATTAGGGTTGTATCCAATGCCATAGCTGTGTCCAGTACAAGATTTTCACTAATCATTTATCTAGCATGTTGTATTCTATGTGAATAATTTATTTGTATTTTGGTTAGATCTAGAATAACTAAAATTTATGTATTATTCACCATTTCAGCTGTGATAAAAGCTTGTTTTGTTTCTATTTCGCCAAACTGTAAAATAGAGTGCTAAAATAACCTCTCTTTTTTCTAATTTGATTTTGGGGTGTATCAGTCTTGTAAACCAACTAAAAACATATATAAGGCCTGGTTGACCATGTCTCCAGTATCAGGAATTGCATCCACTTCTGTTTTGCGACTTTGAAACATGCATGTGCAACAATAAAACATCATACAAGACTCTGAGACAGTATGAAGAATTTTATTTACATACTTGTTTGATCACAGAAATCAACAGAAGTCCATGTCTGCCAGCATGACCTTGACCTTGCCATCTTGATCTCCTAGCCATGCTATATCATACACAAGGTCATTCAACTACTGGAAGCTTTCATTCCCATTTTATGCACATTTGTCACACTAACCATCTACTTTCAGAACAAGCTGTCCCATTTTTTCTTGAGTCAAATTTTGAAAATGTGTGTAATCTACACAATCCATATCAAATTCATTTGAGATTGGTGGGGATTTCGGTGAGAAAATCTTGTGTATCATAACTTGTGTCAGACAAGATGTTGGCCTGTTCCACAAACAATGTTGGCCCGACAACTATTATAGTATATGTTTCAGTGTGGGAGTTATGGCCGTATTACCTACATGATCGTCCTAGCGCAAGGACTGCAACATGAAATTTGGCCCACATTTATAAAAGATGTTCTTGAATATTATTATCAGGGAATTAATCAGACATAAATGTTATTGTTTGTTTCAATGTTTGTAAGAAATATAAAAACATGACAAATATGCACAATAAAATGTGAAAACGACAACCTAATTAATAACTTAAAGCAGCGTTAAGGTACAGCAATCACATCAACACCCAAGATTTCATAGATATGGGAATAAATTTTCAAATTGTGTATAATCTACCTCAGCACTCAGGCAAAATACCACACACCATTGCAGCAATTTTTCAGCCATTCACAGAAAGACATTTTTTGACAATACAGATACCAAACACAAAAATCGAAGTGATTGTTACTTGTAGTGTGTAGGTCTTAACATAAGCTGGCGATTCCATACATGGTAATGTGAAAACAACATGAATATTGAAATGCTTAAATGTAGATCATGTACAAAAAGGGTGTATAAGTTACGTGTAGTTATACAAACTCCTGTATATAAATTTAATCAATTTACATAAGTATAAAATATACAATAAAAGACTTGAATACTCGTGACTAGTATGGTTAGTATAATATCAAAATAATCTATAAATATGAAAACAAAGATGACAATGATATCAGTTTAGTTTTAATATATTAAATAATGATAACAAATATTCCCTAAGATCATACATAAGGCTTTCATGTATATTGAACTTGTGTTGTCCCTCATTTGCCAAAACTCCTCCAGAGACTGAATGAAGAGACAGCAGATCCATCAAACCTGCTGACAAAGCTTGTTGAATAGATTTCACATTTTGTAATTCCCTCTATCCATGGGGATTCAGAAACAAAACCTATAATTGTATAACTTATACCGGGCACTTATAAACATTACTTACAGACTGGTCTTGAAGTTTATCAGTGGAGCTGATTGTAGCAGGGTGTTTATTACATCTTTGTCAACCGCTTAACTTTCAAAAATGGAAACAAAGTATACTCGGACAGTGAGAAATTTCACAAAAGATTAAAACAATGATATACAAGGACTCTGAGTAATAGGTTAACTAATTATATGCACTCAATTCATACCCTGGTAGAAAATCACTTTTCTATGTCCACGAATATCTTTATGAAAACCCACATCTGCAACTTCCTGTTGAAATGAAAAGAGTTCTATTTGCCTGTTTGTAATGCAAAAATCAACAAAATATCAACACAAACAAGCACCAATTTTGTAAGAAATAATCCACTCCTCCACTGGTACACAAAACTAAAATAACAGAAGGTGTCGTAAGCAAGGGATAAAAGTCCCATCGGACATGAAAATCAACATGAGCAATAAAATAGTTTTCAAAATGTCTGCTTAATGAATTATTTCTATCAATAATTGCAAATCAATTCTCAGTCTTGCACTTCAGCGACAGCAAGGAAACCACAGAAGTCAGCCATATCAGGGACTAGATCATCATTGGAAAATAAAGTTGTAATTGTAAAGCCAAGTTCTCATCTCACTTCGAATCTCCCATATTTTGAGCTGAATACTAATACATGTTACACATCGTTTCATAATTATAAAGATTTGATTTTCATCTACAATGGGTGTTTACTCCTCAAGGAGTTGAGAAATTAGTTTGAGTGTACACTGATGTATTGACAGGGTGTACATTTGAGCATGCACTCTTGTGCCTTTTTTTTGTCCACAATAGATAGGATCAAATATTCATTCAAATTTTCAACACGATTTTAATTTATATAAAAAAGAGAACAGTTTAACATATACAATGTGCAAAAGCTACCACAAGTGAACAATTGTCTTCGATACAACATTGACGACACTTTGATGAGTAATGTCACAAATCCCACTGTTCCCTCAAAACTGGATGTCCTGCCATAGTGCAATGGCGTTTTTAATTTGGAGGACAAACTACATATACCATTCAGGAACTGACAACAAGTAATTTGACAAATTGAAGCAGCTTAACAAACAATATGACCTTTTTTAAACATTCCAGAAGCACAATGCCATTTTCTCCTCATTCCTGAGCCTGCACTGTTAAAGCTTCAAACAATTATTTTGTAGGAAAAGGAAGTAATAATCTACAACATTGTCCTCCACCGGACAGATTTACATGGAAACTGTACATTGCACAATATTTTTAGGAACAGCCATGTACGACAAAAGGTATAACAAGTGTCCTGACACATCTTTGCAACTCCAAAAATATGCATTACAACATCTGGCCACAGGATTAGGTCTTCACAATTCAATGCTAACATATGAGTGGGTGAGTGAGTGAATTTTACTCCTCCTTTGCAATATTTAAACAATGTTATGACAGTGGAGACAAGTAATGGATGTCACGAAATGTGACACTTGGGGATTCAAAACAGGGTCCTAGGTTGAACGAGTAAACGCTTTAACCACTGGGCTACCCCACTATCAATTCTAAGAGGAGCTAAATTTCATACATTTTTCCTTCTGACAAATTAATTTGTTGTAGTGGGAACTGTATGTGAAGTACCTTTGACACACAGCACTATTCCACTATTCAACAGAATGATGTTTTTTGTAGGGGTGAAGATCAAGGAAACTGATCTCTGAAGTACTGGCAGTATGCTAGCCTAGTTGTTGGAGATGTTCACACAGCGTGCTTACAATACTATTCATGGGAAGTGCATTTCACATTCCAAACAATTTCAATACATGTACTAATGTGACATTATTTATGAAGCCGTAGCAGGTGCATCATCACTTAAATCTCACAAGTGAGGGTATTCACTACAATACAAACAGATGACAGTTAATATACTTCGCCACAGTTTCACATGTTTTATGCTCTGTGAGGGCTTACAATATTTTACTTAGGGTATAGCAGACACTTGATAAAGCACATCATCATATTTCACTTCACAATTTGTACATAATGGATCTGGTTACATTGCATGAAGCAATTACCAGTAGTCTACTAAAAGAATTTCTCAGGTTTTGACAAGAAAATGAAACAGCTTTGAGACCATTGTGGATTAGGTGTCTGAGTAACACTACCAAACAGATTAACTTCATATAGTTGTAACAAGATATTTATATAACATGTAATGCTGATTGTTATGATCAATTGTTGTGATCTCAAAATGCTCGAAAGTGAAATTACCAATTATTCAAAAGGAAGTTGGAAATAAAAAAATATTGAACTCAAGCCACATAAAAAACTTCTATTCTTTATGATATGCGCCTGTGTAAAATAAACTTTTAAAAAATGTTAAAGAAATTCATTCTCTGTGAAAATATATTTTAATGAAAAATTACATCTACAAGATTACCTTTCAAGCATTGCTAGTAGTCCAAACAATCTAACTTGTTCTCCAGACAACCAGTATATCTGGCATAGCTTTCAAAATTGTCTAGCACATGCTACAAATGATTCTGATATGTGATATCTTAGAAATAAGAAAAAGAGCTTGACACACAAAGTGATGTTAGCCAAACTACTGTTGCTAAAACAGTAAGATCTCCCTATAGAACATCTCTGGGCTAATGTTTCCTACAGCGTGTGCTTGGTAAAAGAGATGAGATGTTGAAACAATATAATTAATCTTTTGGATAAAATAGCAAAGAAGACTACATTTTTCTGCACCTGCAGGGGACATTGAGCTACTGTTTGTATGAAGATGTTTGAGTGAGTGAGTTCAGATTGACTCCACCGTAATAGTATTTCATTCATATCACTGTGTATCAGCTGAATAAGCAAGGAAAACCCAAAATCATGCAGGTCAAAGACATTTTCCACTTTGTGGAAAGCGAAGACTACAGGTATGGTCCTAACAGACCGAGGATCAATACATTCAAATGTAGGATAGGATCAGCAGGTCCTGGCAGAGGTAAGGGACCAAACTCTGCATAGGAAATTATGCTGCCATAGCACACAGGTTTAGGTGTGTCCTCTTGAGCTGACACACAGTGATCTACCCTTTAAAGTGTCAATGAAACCACCTCACTCACTGAACAGTGTGTTGGTTCCTGGTCCAGGGAATGTAACATTTGGGACATGTAACACATGGTCATAGCAAAATAATTGAATTTCTTTGTGCCCATTATCATAAAAATATTAACAAAAATACATATTCATAATATCAAAGCCTTTAACGATGTCTGCTGGTATGGTCACTGTGAACCTGGGGCTGTGTAAGTGAATTAATTCCCATTTGGGGGAAATACATAACTGCACTTTTTTATTGACTAGAACATTAGAACATGATCACAAAGACATAATGTCTTCTTGGAGATGAATGGTTTATCATGCGTGGTTAAAATATCAAAAGGAGCTAAAACGAAAAAAAATTGAGAAACTTAGTTAACACAGAGACCATCCTCTTATTTCATTTGGACATTTTCCCCAAGGCAAGGGAGTTAACTGACTGTAAAAGTCCAGTTTCCACCCTTGCCGAACAAGGCTGGAACTTCTGGGCTTGATCGTAGCGCCACCAGTGGCTATTAAGAGTTATGGTCCTTCTATGTCCCTCCTATTGACCATATCACTTGCATTTGCTTCAAATAAAATGGAGTTGCCAAAACAAGACAATCTGATCGATAATCAAGATCTATATTGTAATAAAACGGGTTTTACTTCGCGAAGTGCATCAAATCACGTGTGCATGTTTATTAAAAACATAAAAAGATTTGGAAAAGATCTGCTGATGCTAAGTTGTTGGTACACATGTTTTGCAAATCCTGCAATCGACCGAAGTCTGCATAGACTTGTTAGTACAGCCAAAATATAATTCCATAATTCCAGCCTAGTTCGTAGAGGGTGGAATAGTCAAGATAAAATAATCAAAATTTTAGAAACAACTCTTGGGAAAAGTTACTACCAGCCAGCAGCCACTCTTAAAGTAAAATAATTGGAAGATTGATATGTGTGTAGACTTACTCCACCATCAAGGAATAACATTAAAGGTAATAACACTGGAAAGTGTAAGAATATTAACACTGTTTTGTTATCATATATTAGGTACTGAGATGAGATGTTTGCATACTTGTCCAATAATGACTCAAGGGAAAACTTTTGTTTGAACACTGAAGTGGAGCTCGAGTAATGAAATGGCAGCACAGGGAAGTGCATACAAAACACTATAGATCATATGCACTCTTTCTAGGAATGTAGATGCTAGCAACTTTGTGTTCAAAAGTCCACACAATGCAAATCCTGCTGTGCTAGACAAAATGGTTGTAACACAACCAGTGACTTTCTCTACATACACAGCCCTTCAGATACAGATCAGATTATTCTCCATATTGACAATGAGATAGTGATTCCATTATTATCTCCTTCATGGGAGTGAAGCTCCTCACAGCGACACCGTCTTCCTTGCACTATATACTGAAGGGAGAGAAGGTGTCACACACTGGGAAGGAGCTTGCATTGTGAATGAAGCTCCTCACAGTGATACCTTGCTCCCTACACCCTTTATAGAGGAGAGTAACAAAGGTGTAGGTCAGTGATAGAGCTTGTCATGTTGTGACCATGGTCTTGAATGATATACAGCTACAATCCGGTGACACTTCCTCATGATGCCACAGTAAAGGACATCACGTCATAACATTTCACATCTCCCTAGTCGCACTTTCAAGGGCAGTGTGAGTCCAAGAAAACCTTTTGGTTCTTACTTGGCATGGTGTCCAAAGCTAAGTGATGCTGCACAGGTTTCCCCAAGGGATTGCTATACCACATATCCAGTAGCATCTAGCTGCTTGGCTTGCCAAACTGGCAAACACAAACATACTCTCCATCTCCACACTTATACATGATCCAGTGATTCTTTGATATGCTATGTGTGTATTGGTTGGTTCTTTTCAATGGATGATGTACCTGAGTGATATCCTTCTACTGCAACATGTCCATGTACAACACTCTCCATTTAACACTCTCCACAGTTTCTTCACTGACATGTGCAGACTGTTCATCTGGGTCCATGACCAACAAAACTGTCAACAAAACTGCCAACTGAGAGGATTAACTAACAAAACAGCATTTTTTGGATTCAGAACAAAACTGTCTGTTTAAATTATGTCAACGAAACTTCCATTCTCAGGACACCAATCAAATCTTCCTGTTCAGAATATGCAAACGAAACTTCTGTTTTCAGGACTGGAAACAAAACTGTCTGTATATAGGATATCAGCCTTGTGTAGAACTTGATGCAGTGCAGTCCAACGTAACATTGTCTGTCAACATTGTGAACTGCTCACAGTTTGAGATTGCCAACCCTCTCACGGGACATATCTGCACTGGGCATTCCTCGCCTCCGTCGCTTCATCTTGGCCATGTCCTCCCCAAATACATCACCAGTCCTGAGTGCAGAAATAAGGTCATCAAACTCTCCTGGAACACAAATGATGGTGTTAATTAATGTTACTGCATACATGAGCACATTAAAGACATAGTTAGCACCCACAAGTTTCACCAAGTAAAGAAGACGCTTATTGGGATACTGTCAAGGAACATCAACTGCAATGTCATCCAAATAGTGTTATAACAATACTACTGAAACAGTGTTTGCATCTAATAATCTAATCTATCATAATGATAGAGAGCAATTGAAATATTAAGGTGGGGGTATAAAATTATCATGCCAATGAAATAATAAATTCAATCTACATTTGCATGTTGAGAGACTACTGACCCTTTTCCCCACTGCTATTCTCTGTGTTGTTGGTGGTGATCTTCCCGTCCTTCTTGTCCAGGGTACTACTCCTCCGCAGCAACAACCTCTTCTCCCGCTCCTTCTTCAACTGCAGAATACCGGCCAACATCAACATCAACACATTGTGATGAGGTTTACATAGAAGAGAATTATTATCAGAGCAATGATAACTATCAGAGCAATGATAACTGATCAACACTTGCTGATAGAAAAGCACTATCCTGCAATGCAATCAAGTGGCTAAAACGAGTGTGTGGTGGGGGAAAGTGTGTTCATAATATTTTGATCACTCCTTCCTTTTGCAAATAACATATGGACCCCAATAACAAACAAACACCTATGAAATGCTTCTGTATATTGTCAATTGAGACTTAAATTCAAAATGTGGAACCCCCAGCCACAGCAGGATAAAATTCAGATTTTGAACAACCCACCCCACCCCTCCCCCAAAGGTTAACATTCACAATGTGTACCCCCACCCCCATCCCCAAGTTTAAAATTTAAACAATTTCCAACAATCTACGATGCTTTCATTATATCACTCTTGATCCCCAGCATATCAGCCTCTTACCTGTTCCTCAATCTTTGCCCTCTTCTCCTCCTCCTCCTTCTGTCTTCTCATCTTCTCATTCTCCAGGCGGGCGTCCGTGAAGGAGGTGAGGAACAGATCAAACACCCCAAAGAAGTCGTCTGGCTGCACCTTGTTCTCCTCAGCGTAAGCTTTCAGAGTCATCTCATACTGGAACACATACACACACCCACACACCTAAAGTTCAGGCTCCAATACTGAGTGAAAAGCTTTCAACATTATTTCAGTTACATTATGGCACAACGGCTTAATGTGGAGTGCAAGCCTTTAGGCAAGTGTATTCTATTTATCATCAGTGCCTAAATAACCCACATATATGGCTGAAACGTTTTTGTGAAGTGTCAGAACAAGCATGAGTAGTAATAGGCACCCCCAACCTCTTATAAGCATACAAAAGTGAGTGATATCAGATTTGTCAAGAAGTATTCTGTATGATTGTCCACAAGTAGATCAATAATCAGCCTACATCAAATTATGGTGTTTATATATGGTTTCCTATGGTATATAACACATCAAGGTCGGTGTATAACACACAAGATGACAAGCCAAATCCTGAGCATACATCCAAGCGTTGATCCGATGTAGCTAAGCCGAGAATGCAATATTGGGTATCCTACTCTGATATTATAAGAGTAAATTTGTTCCAAATTGTGCAAAAGATTTTCACCTGGTAACATCACATGTTAAGAAGTACTTCAAGAGATCTACAGGACCATGTGTTAGAAGATTCTAGTGGAATCAGGCACACGTACCTAGAACATATACCGGATTAAAGATTTCTGTGAGAAGAATTTGGTTTTGTCGGGATATATGACGTTCGATTTGCCATGGGTTGGTCCATATTCACTCAATACCAATTATTGATCTCTCAATGGAGAGGTACTTATATATGGCTTCCAGTGGTATATCACACTTGAAGATCAGTGGATCACTAGTGAGATGACAACCCAAAACGTAATCATACCCCCAAGTGATATACAGCAAAACCGGGTGAAAACACGATATAGGGTACCATACTTTGAAAGGCTGTAACAACAAGTTTGTCCCAACTTTTTTTCTTGTTTACATTCAAAATCATGTTAAGTATGTTTATGGGTTTTAAAAAAAACTAGTGGGGCTTGGATGGGGGTGCTCGTGGGTCATACCTAGCCCAGGGCCTATAAGCAGTAGTCCAGATGACGTCACACATGACCTCTGCGATTCTGTTAATGCGCCACTAAGATTATGAGAATAGACAAAATATGGACCGATTCAAAGCTAAAATTGTTTAGTTATAGGGTGTGCATGAAACAGATTGCAGCACTCATGGCTGTCACAACATGTTATACAACTTATTACAAAATGTATCTGATGAGCGAAAGATAAATGGTATCTGACAGACACTTGTGTAGTAATCTCTACCTGCTGGAAACCCACGAGCACAGGTATGGTGCGGACAGATTATTCAAGGGGGAAAATCAAGGTTTTGAACCTACTATCAGTGGATCATGGAACAGCTAAGAAGAACTTTTTGTTGAAATCCACGATCATGACTATGTTTTATAATTTGGGCCAATCTGGGTTGATTACACTGTAGCTTACCTTTGTCTTCATTTCAGAGTAGGAGTCCTCCACCTCAGAGAAGTTGTAGGCTGCGATGGTGCAGAAGTCCCCCATCACAGACACAAACTTGTCCTGACTATTGTAAGACTGGTTCCGGAAAAACTCCATCTCCTAGAAAAGTTATGTCCAATGAAAGAGCACATCCACAGCAAAAGTTAAGCACCTGCTTAATAATCAACACCTTTCTTTATGTACAATAGCCACACATCACTTCTCTTAATTATTAGATTTATTTATTTATCCTGCATTACTCCTTAATGCATCTATTGCTTACCTTAAGACAACGAAGACAGTGCGTCATGATGGTACTGGGTGAGAAAAAAAGTGCACTTTTGAAGGACCCATCGCCGCTCTCATGTGACCAATCGTGACGTCACAACCAATTCACATTCTTGCTCATAGTACTACAGGGAAGTTGTGCTTCACTTTGCTCCTCAAACTTTGGCTTAAATTGGTGGTTAGCGTTCCACTACCACACTAAATTTGGTTGGGTGATGTATTCCTTTTTCATATTATGTTCACTTTAATATGTATTAATATTGCATTTTCCACGTAAAAAGACTTTCTCTTTTTCCCCACCATGTGCCTCATTGTTTCCTCCATTTTGAAATTGCGTTTACCTCAGTGTGAGGTAGTCATTATTGTTTGCAATTCTCGGCTAGATATTACATCTCATGTATATTTAAACACCATAAGCCTTTGGCATATATATAAAGAGTTTCATGTTTGTATTTTGATACACCTTAAAAACTTGTACAAAATTGTGCACTCCAAAGAAAGTACTTTTAAATGTAATTTTTGCCCACCTCTAACTCCGAAAACAAGTTTTTCAGCTACGGTGAAGAAGATGTTGTACTCGCAGGACTCTCCCAGCCACTATTCCCCAGTTATCACCACTCAACCTTCGTAAAAGTAGACACAATTTATGGATAACTTCTTTCATTACTGTAAAAGTGACGTTTCGCTATAGATCTTTATACCATTGTCAAGCTCTATAACGACTAGCATGCCTTCAGCTATCTCCAACACCACTGCTCACACGAGGATTTTGTTGTACAGCTCACTCTCATCAAGTGCTACGTCTAAGCACTCTGCTAGAGCAAGACCTACACACCCTAGTCGAACTCGTTCACCTCCGAGCAGAGTGCATCACTGCCATTCTGATTCATCAGAGGCATCAGGCGGCGATAAATGTGATTCATCTGTTGAATGGAATACCCACCACAGCCTAGCACAGATGACTGACTGGATGATGGACCACCTCACGTCAGTAGTGCCTTCCTCTGGAGCTGGGGTTGATAAGAGGGATACCATCTGGTCCCAATACATGTCTATATCAGTGGATCCTATACTCAAGGATATGGTTAGGGCGCTAGATGAAGACTTTTCCGACGCCAAAAATTCAGGAAGGATGATTTCCCTATCCATGCTTTCGCTGTAGCAGACCAGGCTCGTGTTTTGGATGAGGACTTGCAGAGGGTGACTGGTTCATGACAGTTCCAGACGCCAGATTCACCTTTATTGAGTCAGAAATCAGGCGTGTACTCAAACCATTATCCGCACTAGCATCCTCAACCCATGCAATGGAGCAGGGTTATCAGAAGTTAACCCGAACCGCATAGACTATTTTCAGATTTCAGGTTGATTTTCAACAGTGTCAAATCAATCACATGAGAAACCACCTCAGTTACTCGCAGAATTGGATACCTAGCGCTCTCCAACTGGGATTTTGAGTTTAAACGTCATCTTCTCTGTCAACCATGGTTAGCCAGCACGTTGCCAGCATGACCAAGTCACTGAAACACCTGCTAAGATCTCAAATTATGCTCTTGAGGCAGTGGAGCATGTGTCTCATAGCTTATCCCAATGAGCAGGTAGGTCGGGCAACTACAGGCCGAGACACTCTTCCCTCAAGGATCAAGACCAGGATTCCTTTCATGGCAGAGGCAAACCACAAGGCTCTTATCAAAAAGTTCCAGGGCAGGGGCGGGGATAAGAAGGGGAAACACTGAAGTGTTGGACAATCACGACTGGGAGCTCCCACCCATAGTCCTCCCAATCGTTGACACCCCTCTTAGTGGGAGACTGAGCCTCTTCGGCATAACTGGGCCGTACTGAAGGATGCTTTCGTACTGTGATACGGCTACCATCTTAACTTAGCAGTAGATACACCATTGACCACAGCTCCTCAACCTTGGGCTTATCCAAGGAAGCAACATCTTTCAGTGGCCCCGTGGCTATTTACATGAATAATCAAGCCAGTAACTGCCTTTCTCCACCTGAGAAACATCCGGTTCAAGTCATACATAGACGACTGTCTCCTGAGTCATCCAGACATGTTCACCCTGGTGCGCCAGCGGGACTTCACCCGACATCTACTATATCAATTGGGATGGATAGTCAAAGAGGCGAAGTTAATTCCATCTTACCAGCTCCAGTTCATAGGAGGACTGTTTCAGACAGATCAGGATGGATGGATAGTCAACAAGGCGAAGTTGGAGTTAACTCCTTCTTACAGACAGATCAGGACCTCCTATCAGTGCCGAGGGACAGATGGCTCAAGATCTTAGCCATCTGTATGAGGCTGCCTACATCTGCGCCCAATACAACAGTTCCTGGCACCTTTCATCAGACACAAAGATCTGTAAGCAGCCATCACTCTACCATTCCACCTAAGAACTCATCTCAATTGGTGGACGATAGAGTCGAACGTCTTAGGATATGTCGCCTTGTTCACACCTGTTCGTAGATGCCTACCTTCAGGGATGGGGTGCTCATTTACAGAAGCAGACGTCAGGGCTGTGATTCGGTGCACAATTTACTTGGCACATAAACAACCTTGAGTTTGAAGCACTTATTCTGGCCATCTCACATTGGCAATATCAGCTACAGTTCACCCAACTCGCAATGTCCACCAACAACAGCGCAATAGTGTGGTGCCTGCGCAATCAAGGGACAAGGTTCTTTCATCTAGTGGATCATCTGGGACTAAAATACTTAGTCCAGCACATCACCCTGCTCCTGGATCCACAGGCTTTGGCAATAGATATATTCAGCATCCCCAAGGAAGGGCTAAAAGCGTACGCTATTCCGCCTCCTGTACTGCTTCCCAGGGAGATACAAAAGATCAAAGCTACCAAGAACCTTCCTCTGACTTTGGTCGTGCCTTGGTGGACAGAGAGGGGGTGGTTTGTCAACCTCAAAAAACCTTGCAGAAGACAATCCACTACCCCTCCCAGAGTGGTTGAACCCAGTCATCCACAGCAAACTACCTCACCCAATGCCAGGCAGATTTCGTCTGCACACTTGGTTCATGTTCAAACGGCCTTCAGTGCAAAGGGCTATTCGGCACGGGCAGCTAAAGCCATTGCTTTGGCACATCGTCCCTCCACCAGGGGGTTATACGATGATAAGTGGTGATCATTTGAAACCTTTTGTAAGGCTAAGAATCAATATCCAACGAAAGCATCACCTCAATTCTTAGCCAAATACCTCCTACACTTGCGTACCAAAAGACACTTGAAGTGTAGCACCAATACAACGTATTTGGTAGTGCTTAATTCAGTGTTGGCCATTACGGAGATTTGCAAAATGACTAAGGTCCTGGAACTACAGGCCCTACTACACTCTTTCAGGCTTGAGGATCAGAAGGCCAAATTTTGTCCCCCTGCATCAGATTTGAAAGTGGTATTTCGAGGTTTTTGCAGGCCCCACTTCAAGCCTCTCAACACATCCTTATTTCATAACCTCACTAAGAAAACAATATTTCTGCAGTGCGGGTGAGCGAGTTCCATGCACTTGACGTCAAGACGTCCGTTTTGAGCATTCTACACAGCCAAACTACCTGGCCAACCCGACCAGTCCTTCACCATTCCACCAATCTCTATGTGTGAGACTCGAGTAATCCAGTGCGTGTAGCTCAGAGACCCTAGCAGCAGTAGCCACGGCTAAAGCCTGCTTACTTTGTTGTTTTAGGTACTATATATTGCTATCTATAAGGCGAGTTTTTCATACCTAGAATTATGGGCCTTTGAAGGGGGTCGTCTAAATACCGGAAATACCATGTCAACAAATCCGTAATGAAGTATGCAAATTAATCATGTAATTACACTATCTGGTTATAAAAAGTGTTCAATCTATTGCCATGTATATCAATTTTATTTTAAATTTCATTCAAATTTGTTTATATTCACTTAGGCCAAATTGTGCATGAAGTAGATCACACAACTCACCATTATTTACAGCAACTACGGTCAGATTACCGCTATTGACGCCTTGAAACGAACTTTAGTGGATAGAGAATGGATATATATATATATATATATATATATGTTACAGGGAATATGTATAATCAGGAAATATGTATAATCCCTGAAATTTTCAGGGAATATATTTAATGTCTGATTCACTCAGGGAATATACGTAATCCCTAAAAAATTCAGGTATTATACATATTCCCTGATTTAACATCAAGTTTTTTAGACATATTCCCTGAAATTGCTTTTGAGGCTCTTATATAGTCAAACTTGATAAAAAAAAAGCCAAATCATTTATGAGAAGACAAATTTATTTGACATGATAATAAATACCTTTCATTTAACTTAACACTTAGTCTTCACTGTAATCAAAACAATGCTACATCAAACATAGGATAGACTTAACAAACAATAGCTCTTGTCCAGTTTTTTTTAGGAAATTCTCCTCTAACTCCATCTTGAAAATGTGAGGTAATTCTGTACTGTACTGTTTGGGGGTTTAACGACCGCTTCTACCACTGGCAATTTCAGTCTGGGTAGATGGGGAAAAAAAAAAAAAAAATTTTAATGTAGGTAAACACCATACCCAAAAATCTATAAGTGAGAGGGGCATAAACCTAATCCTAAAAAACTATGGGTATAATGTACAACAAGTGTATTAAAATATAAAAAGAAAAGATAAGTTAAATGGTAATATATCAAGAGAGGTGAATTTTGAAAGAAGGATTTAAGGCCTGAAAAGAGTAGAAAGTGCTATATAATCTCTCCTAGTAATTGTAAGCTCTACTTGAAGAAAAGGTTAAGCATAGTGGGAGGTAATAGTAGTAGTAGTATTGTAGATTTTACGACTGCTTC